GCAACAACATGGGTGGAACTAGAGGGTATTATGCTAAGTGAAATAAATCAATCAGAGAAAGACAATTATCATGATCTCACTCACATGTGGAATTTAAGAAAGAAAACAGAGGATCATAGGGGAAGGGAGGGAAAAATAAAACAAAGTGAAATCAGAGAGGGAGACAAAGCATAAGAGACTCTTAATTATAGGAAACAAACAGGGTTGCTGGAGGGAAAGGGTTTGGGGGGATAGGGTAACAGGGTGATGGACATTAAGGAGGGCATGTGAAGTAATAAGCACTGGGCATTATGTAAGCCTGATGAATTACTGAGCTCTACCTCTTAAACTAAAAATACACTATATGTTAATTAATTGAATTTAAATTTAAAAAGAATGTGGAGAATGACCTGTGAATCAGCTTTAAAAGCACTTTAAGCATTTCTACCTCTTATGTAGAATTAACACATTTATTCTAATCCTACAAAGTTTCTCGTATTTTTTTTTCTACTTTTAGTTTGAGATAATTTTAGACTCACGTGTAGTTATAAGAAATGATACAGAAAGAGGCACCTGGGTGCCTCAGTTGGTTGAGCATCTTTCTTCAGCTCAGATCATAATCCCAGAGTCCTGGGATCGAGACCAACATGGTTGGGCTCCCTGTTCAGTGGGGAGCCTGCTTCTCTCTCTCACCCTGTCCCTCCCACTGCTTGTGCTCCCTCTCTCTCAAATAAATAAGTAAAATCTTAAAAAAAAAATGATACAGATAACCTGTACCCTTTAAACAATTTCCCCCCATGATTACACCTTGCAAAAGTATAGTACCATACCACATTGATACTTGCTGATACCACATTGATACAGAACATTTTCATCCAGCAAGAATCCTTTTTTTTTTTTTTAAAAGATTTTATTTATTTGACAGAGAGAGATCACAAGTAGGCAGAGAGGCAGGCAGAGAGAGAGGGAAGCAGGCTCCTCGCAGAGCAGAGAGCCCGATGCGGGGCTCGATCCCAGGACCCTGAGATCATGACCTGAGCCAAAAGCAGAGGCTTTAACCCACTGAGCCACCCAGGTGCCCCAGCAAGAATCCTTTTTACAGACAGAGCCTTTTATAGTGCTCTGCCCCCTACTCAACCCTTGTCAACCACTAAGCTGTTCTCCATTTTTATAATTATGTCATTTCAAGAATATTATATAAATGGTATCATAAGGTATGTAACCTTTTCAATTTTCATTCATAATTTGCTGGTGTTCCATCTAATTTGTGTACCAAGAGTTCATTCCTTTTTAAAGTTTATGTATGAATGTATGTATGTATGTGTGTGTGTGTGTATATATATATATTTAAAATTTATTTTAAGTAGTCTCTATACCCAGTGTGGGGCTCAAACTTATGACCCAGAGATCATGAGTCACACACTCTTCTGAGCCAACCAGCAACCCAGTTTATTCCTTTTTAATGCTGAGTAGTATTCCATGGTTGGAAGTACCACAGTTTTAACTATATATCCATTGGGCTAGCTCCAGTCTGGGGCTATGATGAATAAAACTGCTGTAGATGTTCATGTACAGGTTTTTGTGTGAACATAAGTTTTCCTCTCTAGGGGTAAATGCCCAGGAATACAATTGCTCGGTCATTGATAGTTGCATATCTAGTTTTTAAGAAACTGCCAATCTGGTTTCCAGAGTGGCTGTACTGTTTTATGTTCCCACCAATGTATGGGTGATCTAGTTTCTCCATATTCTTGCCTCCTTGCTGAATGTTTTTATCTTGAAAGGAGCCCTTCCATGTTAATTTTAGAATAATTTTGTGTCAGATATTTTTTAGGATACCATTTTAATTCCTTTTGATATTTCCACTTCTGGTGCTTTTCACTGTTTCTTGTGGATTTTAGTTACCATACTATAACATTTCTTTGCAGCTAAAGGACTTCATTTTGCATTTCTTTGAAGCAGATCTGTTGTCTCCATTGTTTATGATGAGAAGTCAGCCATTAATTGTCCTGGTTTCTACCTATATATATGAGTCATTTTTCTCTTGCTGTTTTCTCTTGCTCCTTTGTCTTTCAACAATTTAGCTATGCTGTAGTTCTTTAAATATTTTTTTAATTTAAAAATTTTTTAAATTTTCATTATTTTTAATTTTTATCTTCTTAATTTTATATATAGGTGTATGTTTTAAGGTTTATTTATTTATTTTAGAGAGAGAGAGAGAGAGAGAGCGCACATGAGAGTTGGGTAGGGACACAGGAAGAGGGAGAGAATCTCAAGCAGACTCTCTGCTGAGTGCAGAGCCTGACATGGGGCTCCATCTCACAACCCTGACATCATGACCTGAACTGAACTCAGGAGTCAGACACTTACAAGCTGAGCCACCCACGTATCCCAGAATCTCTTTCCTTGGTTAATTGAGCTTCTTTGTTCTATCAATTAATGTTTTTCCTCAGATTTTGAAAGTTTTAACCATTGTTTCCCTAAATGTTTTTCTGTCTCCCTTTTCCTTCTGTTATTCTGTATTTTGAGTCAATTAATGTTGCCTCACAGACCTCTGAGTCTGTTAACTTTCTACAGTCTTTTTCATTCTATTCTTCAAATTAGATAAGTTTTGCTAATCTAAGTTTGCTGATTCTTTCCCCGCCATATAGAATTTTGTGTTGAGCCCTTCTGGTGGATTTTTTATTTTAGTGAATGTAGTTTTCAACTCCAGAATGTCTTTTTTTTTTTTTCTTAAAAGAATTTTTTAAATGTATTTGTTGACATTCTGTGGTTGTTGAATCACTATTGTCATATTTTCCTTTAATTCTTTTTTTTTTTTTTGAGATTTTATTTATTTGAGAGACAGCACAAGCCAGAGGGGCAGGAGAATAGAATAGTAATAATTTTGTATCAGATATTTTTTAGGATACCATTTTAATTCCATTAAATAGGAGAGGGAGAGAGAGAATCCCAAGCAGACTCCATGCTGAGTGTGGAACCCAGTGTGGGGCTTGATCCCAGGACCTTGAGATCATGACCTGAACTGAAACCAAGAGTTGCATGCTAAACCGACTGTGCCACCCAGGCACCCCTTCCTTTAATTCTTTAGCATGGTTCTCTTCAGTTGTTTGTATATATTTATAATAACTGCTTTGATGTTCTTGTCTGCTAAATCTAGTATTTGGGGACCCTGAAAGACTCTGTTGCCTGCTTCTCTTTCTTTAGTATGAGTCATATTTTTCTGTTTCTTTGCATGTTTCATAATTTTTGTTAAAAATTGTGCAATTTAGATGATGTATTGTAGCAACCATGGATTCTGATCACATCCTCTCTACCCCTAAAGCTTATCATCGATGATTTCTGATTGTTTAGTAACTTATCCTGGAGTAAATATGTGAAATCTGTTTGTCCAGTCTCTGCTCAGTTTGTTGTTGTTGTTATTTTTAAGGCTGACTTCCCAGTGCTCACCCCTTATTTCAGCCAGTGATAGGTCAGAAATTGTGCTCAAGTGTAGCCACTCTGGAAAATAGCACAGAGGTTCCTTAGAAAGTTGAAAATAGAGCTACACTATGACCCAGCAATCACACTACTGGGTATTTACCTTAAAGATACAAATGTAGTGATCTGAAGGGGCACGTGCACCTGAATGTTTATAGCAGCAATGTCCACAATAGCCAAACTATGGAAAGAACCTAAATGTCCATCAACAGATGAATGGATAAAGAAGAGGTGATATATGTATATAATGGAATACTATGCAGCCATCAAAAGAAACAAAATCTTGCCATTTGCAATGACATGATGGAACTAGAGGGTATTATGCTGAGTGAAATAAGTCAATCAGAGAAAGACAATTATCATATGATCTCCCTGATACGAAGAATTTGAGAGGCAGAGTGGGGAGGTTTGGGGGATAGGGAAGGAAAAAAATGAAAGATGATTGGATCAGGAGGGAGACAAACCATAAGAGACTCTTAATCTCACAAAACAAACTGAGGGTTGCTGCGGGGAGGAGGGGTGTGGAGAGGGTGGTTGCTTTATGGACATTGGGGAGGGTGTGTGATATGGTGAGTGCTGTGAAGTATGTAAGCCTGATGATTCACAGACCTGTACCCCTGGGGCAAATAATGCATTATAGGTTAATAAAATAATAAAAAAAAAAAAAGAAATTGTGCTCAAATGCACAGAGCCAGTAGTATTTTTACCTTCTGTTGAGAGATCTGTGAATAGGTTGGGGAACGCTTTCAGTATTCAGGATATTTTCAAGTTTGTCTCAATTTTTATGTTTTCCCTCAGGAAAACTTATTTCTGTAGCCACAAATGTGTGGATAGTTTGGGAGTTCTCTAGTCTCTGCTACACATGCATGCTACTTCTGTTTAGCTAGGAATACATGGGAAGTTTATCAAGCCCATTTATGGTTGTCTCTCCTCCAAGATCTCTGTGATGTTCCCTGCTAATCTGCCAGTGGGCTTGTTTCTGGCCCCAGTTGAGACTGCAACCTCACCCTCTTGTGGACAGCTTCAGAATTTTCCTTTTTACTTTGGGGCATAGCTTTTCTGCTCTGCACTCTGAATCAACTCAGCCACCTCTGTCTGCGTAGCTGCTAGTTTTCATGGCCTGTAGAACTGTCACATTGACTTTATTAAATGGGGGAGGAAGAGTAATGCGAACTGGTCAAGGAAACGGTGCCACAGACTTCTGCTGCTCCTAAGTGCAGTAGATTTTCATGAACAAATACTTCTCAGTTTATTGTATGCCTGTTTCCAGTAATTTGAGATGATGTTTTGACATTTTTTTTCCAGCTGTATCTTTGCTTTTGCAGAGAGAATTTGTTAAACTCCTTACTCCAACATGCTGGGAGCTTCCTTTTGGTGATTTTTGAAATGTTTATGTATGTGGTTTTTCATATAAAAACATACAAAATATTGCATGAAAATCATGTTATTTACAGCCCATTTAAAATTTATTTTCGAAGACTACATTTCTGTTAATCTAATGAAGATTATAATTACATTGAAATTTAATCTTTTTATTGTTGCAGATTTCAAGTTCCACCTATAAAGACAGGAATGAGGAATACAAAAGACAATTTACACATTTACCTGATACAGAGAAGCTAATAGCAGGTAAAAAAGACAGGAAGTTGTAAAAAAAAAATTTTACTACCTCATTATCAAAATAGAACTGACAAGTGACAATATTTGTAGAATATTTAAGCCTTTGTGCTAGATAGAAAATATTTTTGAAGATAAGTGTCATATTAGGCAATGTAAAACTAAGTTGTAATTTGGGGAGGAGTGATTTCTCACATAAAAATATTAAATACTTCCATGTGTCCTGCCCCATGCTTTAATAAAACCACCATTTTGTAACCCCCCCAAAAAATAAATAAAATAAAAAAGTACTAGCTAAGAAAATAGAACTAAAAGAAAGTTATCGACAATTTCTTCTGGTGCTTGTTTCATATGGTTTTGTAGGAAAAATTTTAAATTTGATGTTCAATATATATTACCTTTCCCTGGAAAAATGTATTCCTTAACAGATTATAGAGCAATTTTATAAAATTTTCTAGGGCTATATTATTTTCTTTCCTTTTTTAAGATTTTATTTATTTATTTATTTGACAGAGAGAGAGCTCACAAGTAGGGCTATATTATTTTCATGTAAACTTTAATTTCTTAGAAGTTTGTTTATGTATTGTTTTAGTAGTCTCTTTACCCAATGTGGGACTCGAATTCATGACCTTGAGATCAAGAGTCACATACTCTTCCAGCTGAGCCAGCCAGGTGCCCTCATGAAATCTTTCAGATAGATTTTATTTGAAATAGACTTTAAGAGGAAAAATTTAGCCATTTTTCTTATAAAAAGTGCTTTATTTTTTATATAAGCTTAATATAGATTTTTTTGTGATCAAAATAAAAATCAAAATTTTAGTGTGTATTTCATTTAAACCATTTATACATAGAAATTTCTGATTTCTGATACTGTTGGGCAATATTCCATTAAATGTAACTGAATTTCTAGATAGTTCGGCTTAGTACCTAAATATCATTATAATGAATTAAAACAACTTCTAAGAACTTTTGAAAGTAATGCATTCTTATGACAAAATATTCAAACGCTATATAAGGGCATATAATGGGAAGTGAGTGGTCCTTCTGACCAAGACTACTGCAACATTTTTCCTGGCCTATATAACCTCTTTTAGTGATTTTTTAATGTATATTTCCAAACATTTTCTGCAGGTATTTCAAGAGGCATGTACATATATCCCTAACGGAATTTAAATTAAGAACATACGGTGCCTTACTCTTTGAACCTTGTTTTGAGCTCTTTTTATTAGCATTACCTAAGGATCCACTTCATTCTTTCAATGCCTGCCTGGTATTCCACTAAATGAACTTTGTACCATAATTTATTTAACAAATCCTTTATTGATGGACATTTTGCTTGCTTCTTGTTTTTTACTATTTTTGCTAATATTACACTGAAACTTTTACATTTGTTTTGGCATATATGTGCGCACATATTGTAGGATAAATTTTATGAAGTTAAGTTGTGGCAAAAAGGTAATGAGCATTTAAAAAGTTTACCGATGCCAAGGGCGCCTGGGTGGCTCAGTCACTGGGCGTCTGCCCTTGGCTCAGGTCATGATCCTGGGGTCCTGGGACTGGGAGTGAGCTCCACCTCAGGCTTCCTGCTCAGCAGGGAATCTGCTTCTCCCTCTCCCTCTCCTCCTGGTTGTGTTTCCTCTCACTGTCTCTCTCTCTTTCTGTCAAATGAATAAACAGAATCTTTCAAAAAAATAATGTAAAAAGTTTCCTATTGCCAATTTACTCCAAAAGGCTTCACCAATTTGCATTTTCATTAAGTGTATGTAAGTACCTGTTTGCCACACCTCAGGAACTTTGCATTAGTAGAATTTGGTAGGTAGAAATGGTACTTCATCCTTGTTTAAATATGCATTTCTTTAATTATAAAGGAGGTTGAACATTATTCATATGTCTGTAAACCATTTGTATTTCTTCTCCTGTGAACATTTCTCATCATAAACTTGCCCATTTTTCTGGTGGTTGTTTGTCTTTTTCTTAATTTGTAGTAGCTTGTTAGATGTTTAAAAAATTAGATCTTTTTCATGTGTGTTGCAAATGTTTCTTGCCAGTTTGTCACTTGAAATTAAATACTTTTCATAGAAAGCTTTACAAAATTTATCATACTTGTCGTTACTATCTTGAAAGTCTGATGATACAGTGACATATACTCATTATAAAACATTAAAGCTATAGAGAAAAATATAAAGAAAAAAATTGAAAATTATTGGTAATCGTAATACCTACATATAATTTTGGTTAAAATTGTTCAGATAACTTTTCTAGGTATTTTTCAGTATGTAAATTTGCTTTTAAAAATTTACATTTTGTAGTGTTCTCTCACTGATACAATAAACCTGTTCCATTTATAAAATTTGGAAAATACAGACTTTTACAAAGTAGAATTAATACCATATGTAAATATACTAAGCTACAGACCGAGAGAAAATAGTTGATAATCCCATATCTGATTTTTTTTTTTTTTTTTTTTGACGGAGAGAGAGATCACAAGTAGGCAGAGAGGCAGGCAGGGAGAGAGGAAGGGAAGCAGGCTCCCTGCTGAGCAGATAGCCCGATGTGGGGCTCGATCCCAGGACTCCGGGATCATGACCTGAGCTGAAGGCAGAGGCTTTAACCCACTGAGCCACCCAGGCGCCCCCCCATATCTGATTTTTTAAAGATGAACAGGACTGGCCCTCTTTGAAAGAATATATAACCGGGGCACCTGGGTGGCTCAGTGGGTTCATGCCTCTGCCTTCAGCTCAGGTCATGATCCCAGGGTTCTGGGTTCGAGCCCCGCATTGGGCTCTCTGCTCAGCAGACTCTCATCCGTTAGTGGTGGGAGTGCAAACTAGAGTAGCTGCTTTGGATGGCAAGTTGGCATTTTCTTGTAAAGTGACACATATGCTTAACCAATCCTAATTATTTTCTTAAGTGAACTATAAACCTGTGTTCCCAAAAGTCCTGTGCATGATTATTTATAGCATCTTTAGTAATAATTGGGGAATACCCAAGATGTCATTCAACTGGTGAATGAGAGCTCCTTGAAAAAATGGTCCATTCTGGGGCTGGGACAATGAAAAATATAAGATAAGTGACTGTGGAGTATCTTGTAGTTTATAGCACCAGAAAATAAGGAAGTGCTTAAAAAAAAAAAAAAAAAAAAAGGAGCCAACTTGAAAAAACTCCCAGGGGTCAAAGACAGAATAATTTAAGCGATAATAAAATCAATAATGACAATATTGGATTATAACCTAAAGAATAAAATAAATATCCATCAGTCTATATTGCTATAAATGCTTGAATAATTAAATGTGTCAGGGAGAAGACACAGATCTTCCTCCAGTAGTATTCCCAGGTAATTTATATGCACTTAAAGTTTGAGAAGTACTGTTGTAGGATAACACTTGAGTGCCATACCTAAGGGTGAAAACTTACTAGGTTCTATTCTCTGCACTTATAATAATGATGATGAAGAGGATCTCTAAAAGATTTTAACCAATCCATGTATATTTATACAACTGATTTCACCAGTGTGACCCCATGCGTAGCATCCAATATAAACAAGCCACTAATTTCACTAATGAAATCCCTTTTCTAATGTGATTGTGCTGATTAGCCAAACATTTCTTTTTAAACAGTTAATAAAGGTAACAGAAGGGCTTACAGTAGCCGCTGAAGGAGTATAGTCCTAATTAAAGTCCTAATTGTTAGCTGACCTCTCCCAGTGTGAAGCCCTGATTAGGACAACTAACTATCCCTAGAACATTTCTAAAAACGTTTGCTTTAGCTGGAGTCCACATTTTCACTCCTAATATTCATTTGTGCCTTCTTTTTTTCTTGCTTAATCCTGGCCAAATTTTGGCCAGGATTTTTTTTTTTTTTTTTTTTTTTTTGTTTTTTTTTTTTTTTTTTTTAATTTTTTTTGTTTATTTTTTTTTTTCTGGTAGGCCAGAAAATATCCTACCCATCCAGGAAACTCCACAAAACTAGAAAAGAAAGAAAACAGTTTTATTATTGAAAAAGCATTCAACTGGAATGGGACTTGCATCACAGGTAATCTGTAAAAGAGATTGTGAGGAAAGACAGAAATCTCACCTTTTTAAATAACCAAAGAGTTGCAACCCTTTACAAATGCTCTGAAGATAAATGATAACTAGTCTTCAAGAGGACTGATAGTACTGTTTATCGCACGCAGTTCATCATAAATTCACCTGATAATTGGGGCTACTCTCTGTTTTAACTAACTGGCTTTATGAAAAGGAAAAATAAACTTACATCTTTATGACAAGAGTTAATTTTACAACTTGGAGCGAGGTGCCCACTGAAGTTAAGCTTCTACCATATCACAGAAACGGAGAGAAAGGGTGCTATCTCTCTTGATGTTTACATTTTAAAGAGGTGACTGCTAGGTTCTTAAGAAAACATTCCTGGGTTGTAAAACTGGCCAGGGGCTTATTTCACTTTTAAAAAGATTCACATATATCTGAAAGGAGCAAGAAAGAATTTACAAATTTTGTACAGAAAATAATCAAAGAGACGTGAAGGAGTCTTTTTTCCCCTTTTTGCACCAGGGAAAATTAATTTTTTTCTTTTTCAATTTGTATTTACCTTGACAGTTGTCTCAGTAAAAAGCAAACAACACAAAAAAATGTAAAGTATAAAAAAGGAGATTGGTTGTGGCCCCTGGGTGGCTCAGTTGGTTGAGTGTCCAACTCTTGATTTGGCTCAAGTCATGGTCTCGGGGTTGTAGGATCAAGCCCCACCTCCAGCTCCACACTGGGTGTGAAGCCTGCTTGGAATTCTCTCTCTCCTTCTCCTCTACCTCTCCCTGCTCACTCACTCTCTAAAAAAAATAAAAAATGAAAAAGGAGAATGGTTTCTTTTCTTTTTTTTAAGACTTTATTTATTTGACAGAGATCACAAGTAGGCAGAGAGGCAGGTAGAGAGACAGAGGAGGAAGCAGGCTCCCTACTGAACAGGGAGCCCGATGAGGGGTTCCATCCCAGGACGCTGAGATCATGACCTGAGCCGAAGGCAGAGGCTTAATCTACTGAGCCACCCACGTGCCCAAGAATGGTTTCTTTTATAATTTAAATATTAAATCTGAAAGCAATCCTAAAAATGTTGTTCTGGAGAGTCTTTTTTAAGGCAATGTTAGCATTATTGTGTTCCCATAGATGATTGCTGCTAGATAAGGATATTTTAGAAAAAAAAAAAAAAAAAGAATACTTTGGGATGTATATTTCCTGACATGATTGTTTAAGAACACATTCTTTGAATTCACTGTTATCTCCCTTATGGATAGATGATGTCTAAATCCTTTGATAAAACTATAAATAGGACATCTTGTTTATTTATTGTGCAATCTTACTCTAGAAGTATATGGTGCTTTTTCACTCCATCTGTATTTCCATAACACTTGGTACATATTTCCACTCTAACCTTTGTTGTGTTATAGTTAATAAATCTTTAAGAATTGGAGCCATTCAATTGTTCCAAAATTGATTATGTAATAACTAGTTAGTTGATGTTAACACACATATCAAAGTGATCTATGTTGCTTGATTAATTTACTTAATTTTATTCTATCTTTCTAGTCACTAATTATAAAGTTATAAAATCCACAGGCCAATTTTTTTTTCATAGACCAATTTTTGATAAACATTTTCTTATTCCATTCTAGATGAATCAGATAGTTATTTGACTCAATCAGGTAGAATATTGCCTTCTGATATGATAATTACACGTTTGCTTATCAGTAGGGAAATTGAGAGTAAAAAAATAAAAGTAAAATCCCCTGGCTTAAAAAAAAATTTCTCCATTTCTTGCATGGGCCATATTGCTAGAAAGCCATTTTATAAAAAAATTTTTATTGAGGTATAGTTTATTCCAATAAAATATATCTGTTTTGGGATTCCCACCCTCCTCCCCTTTTTCACCTCTATCCTAAAGGTTGGGGGAAGGAATAGAAGGAGAGGGAGAAAGACAATCTTCAGCAGACTCCTTGCTGAATTTGGAGCAGGATGGGACTTGGGGCTCTATCCCACTACGCTGAGACCATAACCTGACCTGAAATCAAGAGTCAGATGCTTAACTGACTGAGCCAGCCAGGCACCCCAGGAAAACCCTTTTTTAAAACACTGAAAAAAGTCTGTCAATCTATGTCAAATAGTCTTCAGTTAAAATAATCTGGTTGGTTGCTATAGCTTTGAACATAGTTAATGTAAAATGGTGCAGTGGTTCTCATAGTGTGCTACACAGGCTAAAGGTGTTGGTGTTACCTGGGATCATGTTAGACTTGAAAGTCTTTACCCTGCTCCAGACATATTTAATCAGAAACTCTGGGGAGGGGCCTAGCAATCTGTGTTTTAATAAGTGTGCCAAGTATTTCTGATCTGAAATGCAAGAAGCACTAAATTAATAAAATGATTCAGTGGCTTAGATAAAAATTTCAGGACACCTCAAGGTGACCTTGAGCCCAATCCCTGTTTTAGAGATGCATACCCATAATGAGTAACTTAATCTACTTAATTATTTACTAGGACTTTTGTTTGGGGGCATCTCAGTTTTGTTCTGCTGAAGGAAACATTTTGCAAGAATTACTTTGCTCAATTTTTAGTATTTGCTTAGAAATTTAACATGATTAAATTTAAATATTTTGAGGTTTATACCTCAATGATGTTTTCCTAAAATTGTTAATCACTTTATATAGTTTTTAAATTTATCATTTAAACTAAATCTTCTCACAGCGATGAGGGAGCAGAAGGCTGGCTGAAGACAAAGCACAAGCTGACACCCTGCAAACCCCCCCCCACACACACTTCCCACTCCTGGGGTGGGACACATGTGACGTTCTTCCAGGCATCTCCCAACTGTCTTAATGTTAATACCCAGCTAGAGGGGAAAACAACCTTAACTTGACAAGGTCATGGCCTCTAGTATTTTGTAGGTATCTTGTAGGTGGGTCCTCTTCAGCATATGAAAGTTCTTTTGAAATGCTTTCCCTTACTTCCCCCTACTCCTGAGTATATAATCAGCCACCCCTCACAACCGCAGTACAGCTGGTCTTTCTGCCCACGGTCCTGTACCTGTGCTTTAATAAACCACCATTTTGCACCAGAGATGTCTCAAGAATTCTTTTTTGTTTGTCAGCTTCAGAACTCACCCCACCAAACCTCACCTATATCCCCAAACTCCATCGACAGCACCCCTTTATATCTTGAATTATTGATAATTTAGCCATACTATTTACATTAGCCAAAGAGCCAAATCTAAATCATGGTATTAACTTACTGGTGGATAGTGGCATTTACCAGAACACCCCTGATTTTGCTGGATTTTAGTGCTGAGGCAGAGAGGATCAACCTTGAAACTAACTTAAAATCTACACAATTTTTGGAGTAATTATTGTCCCCTTCCTCACCCTTTTCCAATGTCTAATCACCACTCTCCCATCAGTATTACCTCTTAAATATCTCAAGTATATTTACTTGAGTAAAGTAGTTACATAAAACTATTTTTTTCTCTTAATACTGTCATTTCTAGGTCTGAGCCACCATCAGTTTGCCTCTGGACTTTCAACTCATTTATATGAATCTATTCTCCTAGTGTGAAAAAAGTAGTCTTGAATAATACACATCTGATCAGGCCCCTTCTGCTTGAAACTCATCAATGGCAAAACAAAACAAAACACCTCATCAGTGGCTTCTTGTAAAGTTCACAGTCTACCGTAGCCTGTCAACCTTACATGATCTAGTTTCTCCAGCTTCTCTAGCCCAAAGTTCTTTGTATAGTTGCTCAGGTGTGCTTTTTCTTTCTACCACAGGGTCTTCACACATGCTCTTTCCTCATAGTCCAGCTGACCATTTATTGACCTTTAGTTCTTAGTTTAAAAACTACTTTTTCTGATATACACTCTCCCTACCCAATCCCCTCATGCCTGTGTCCTCTTTGTAATAGTCTCTCATAGCTTTCTCTACACTTTGATCATTATACTTATTTTGTATTTGTTTGTTAATTGTATACCTTCCCTTCTAGACTGTTCCATGAGGGCAAGGCCCATGTTTGGTAATGCTAGTGCCAGCAAAATATCTGGTGTATGGTGCCCAAAGTATCTGAATCAGTGAGTGATTGAATGAACAAACAAACTAATGAACAAAGAGTGATGACTTTTCGTGTGTTAAAGTAGAATGAGATTATAAAGTTGCCAGATTTTTGTGAATAAGCTGTTCCTTATTCTTGTGTGTCTAGATTATGCTTGTGCTCTTCAGAGGGACATTTTGCTTCAGGGACGTCTATATCTTTCAGAAAACTGGCTGTGTTTCTATAGCAACATCTTCAGATGGGAAACTACGGTAAGCTGTATTTAGATTTGATTTGTTGATACAAATAATTGCATAGGTAGAAATATATGCAGTCTTCCTAAAAATAATACACTTTAGATTCCAAAGTAAATTTATATATATTTGTATATTGTACTTGTATTGCATGTAATAGATATATATACAATTTATATACTGTTGAAGTATGTAATCTATTTTCTTAGTACATTGAGCTCCATTTGTACATATTTAATACAGTTTGAGAAAGAGATTTCAGGTTGAAAAAAGCTTGAACATATATCCATTTGACTGCCAAAATCATGTCTTATGTGACAGACTGTCTGAATTTTGTTTGTGTGTGTATGTGTTAATATGGAACATGAACACCCACATGTCTTTTCACACTCTATCCTAAACTTAGAGATAAGAGCTGTGGAGGAAATTATTGACGGGGGAGAATGTCTGACTGCTTACCCTGTTTTTTTCAGAGAATGAAAGCATGTACTTATTATTATTAACTCCTTCATGTTCTTCAGTGGAATATTCTGGATTAGGTTGATGTAATACTTGGTATTTTGTGCTGTACATGTTTCTGAAAAATCCATATAATAATTTTTCATTCTTTTGTGTGTTTAGATTTGTATTGCATTAAAGAACATAACCTTCATGACTAAGGAGAAAACTGCTCGACTCATCCCAAATGCTATCCAGATTGTTACAGAGGGTGAAAAGGTGAAAAGCTTTTCTGCCTTTGCTTTATTATACAATGTGGAGAAAATCTGCATCATACTGATACATCAGTGTTGGTAATTTTTCTTGGAGTTAGGAATTTGTAGTAGAGATACATTGTATTTAATACTAAATTTCTGTATAGTTAAATACTTTTTGCTAATTAAATGACTGCTAACATTTTTTTCAACATGTAATCAACATTTTTTTATTAACTCTGCTGACATTTTTTGTGCTTTATAGTTCACAGAGAACTTTTTCCCATATTTTTCACTTCTTCATTATAAGAGGTAGGTAAGGAAAGCATTAGTAAAACATCATTATTTCTGAATACCCTAATAATTTCATGATATTATTTAGTCAATAATACCTGCACAGAAGCAACTAATAAAAACAAATTGTTCTGGTGAACAGAGAGATTTGGGGTAGTATATAAGTAAACACATAATCACTATAATATTTTTTTAGGATGGTAGTTATCTTTAACTGTCATCATTTTTATTATTTACCTACAATATCTGCTACTTTTTAGTGAGGATATATGAAGAATCTTTCTGAACCCACCTGGAAGATTGATTAGGGCTCTGTGTGTGACATTAGAAGCATAATGCTGAGAAAGAAAAAGGAAGAAGGGAGGAAAAGAGGGCAAACATGGAGAAGAAGGAGAGGGAAGGAGAAGGAAGGAAGGAAGGGAAGCAATGAAAGAAAAAAAGAGAGAAAGGGGAGAAGCAGGGGAGAGAAACATTATTATAACATTGAATCATTATAATAATTTTAAATCTTGTAGTTTCTTTCAAATGTACTTTACATTTTATTTTTGTTTTAAATAATCTATGCTTACAGAATACTTCCAAGTACAATACAAAAAACTTTCCCCTCTGAACTATTTGAGGGTAAGTTGTCACTCTGAAGCCTCATCACTCCAGATATCACCCCAGATAGTCTAGCGTGTATACCCTCATACATGGAGGCCCTTCTTACTTACTTGGGCTCTGAATGTATCAAGGAGATTTTCCAAATAGAATTATATCCTTCCATGTGGACAACCTCCTCAACTTTTCTGGTTTTGACATTGTTTTGGGCTACTACAGCTCTTTTCTGCCCTCACCTCTACTGTGGATGCCGGCTTTCTCTGTTCCACCAACAGCTTTAGGGCTGAACTGTTCAGGAAAGGAAGAAGAACTAAAAAAAAATTTTAATTTTACAATCAATATACGAATATATTGCATTCCCTAACAAAGTCACAAAACAGTTCTTAAACTAACATCTTTCTTCCATGCCTATAATCCCTAATCCCATTGCTTTTCTAGAGGCAAACACTGTTATTAGTTTGATATGTATCTTTTCAGACTTTTTCCCTTTGTGTGTATAAATATCTATATCTATAAATACACATATAGACACATGCATATATGTATCTTTGTGTGTCTATATATATAGACATACATATATATGTGTATATATATAGTTTTGCTTTGTTTTTGAAGCAAATGCTACTTTATACATGTTGGTTTTCAGTTCTTTCTTAAAAAGAAGTTAATATCTCTTGGAGTCATAGCACATCTAGATGGAGCTATTTCTGTTTATTCATATTCTGTTTATTCATGTTTATTCTGTTTATTCATGTAATTCCTGTTTATTCATTGACCATTAGTTCATTTCCAATATTTTGTTATTATTAACAATGGTGCCATGGACAGCCTAACTGTGCCTTCTTAAGCCCAATGTATGGCTCTTTCTCACATCTATAGTGACATTTCAGGGTCAAGCATTTTCATTTTAATAATGATAACAACAACTAGCATTTGTTGAACATACTTGTTTTAACACTGTTTTAAGTTCTGTATAGATATTTTCTCATTTAATTCTCACAAAAATTTGTTACTATATTTTATTATCATTTTTCTCAGATGAGGAAATTAAGCAAAAGAAAAAGAACCCAAGGGGCACCTGGGTGGCTCAGTGGGTTAAAGCCTTTGCCTTCAGCTCAGGTCATGATCCTGGGATCCAGCCCCCGCAACGGGCTCTCTGCTCAGCAGGAGCCTGCTTCCTCCTCTCTCTCTGCCTGCTTCTCTGCCTACTTGTGATCTCTGTCTGTCAAATAAATAAATAAATAAATCTTAAAAAAAAAAGAAAAAGAAAAATAACCCAAAGTCATAGGACTAAGTGGTAGATTATATACAAGAGTGGATAGAATTGATAAATTATTTAGTTTAAGAAGTGGGAACTATAGTTTTATCTTTTCTTATTTAGATACCAATCTTTTAAATTCTTGCATTTCAGTAAGAAAGTTACCTTTTTATGAATGTTAGCAGTTTATTGACCTAATATTTGTAAATGGTCTGTTTGGGCAGGTAAAATTATGTAATGCAGTGATTCAAATGGAAATTTTTTTCTTTTTGTTTCCTTTTTTTAAAAAATTGTATAATGTCCCTCAAGTTATGGCAGTGGACCTTGTGCCACTGAATTTTCAAAATGTATCATTTTTTCTTTTTTTACTGTGCTTCAAATAAATAGAAAAAATAGTTCTAAAAAAAAGAAGTGGGAACCAAATGGACTAGGAGATTTTTCTTATCTATATATCTGAACAAAATGATATAAGATTATGATAATGCAAGAAAGCAAAACAGTTTGGTCTAAGGAAAGGAAATAGAGGATAAATAGTTATCATTAAGTAGTTATCATTAGGCCACATATTATGTATATAATTCTGTTTGGAAGATCTCCTCAATATAGTCTTGTTATGAAAAGTTTTGCTTCATGGAGAGTATTACATAGCAACATTTCAATTTATTAACTGGAAAATAGCACTTTAAAATTTTCCTATGAAAAGTGTAAATGCCCAAAATATTATTTGTTTGACTTTTTTTTTTTTTCTTAGCAAATCAAACATATAACTGAGCTTTCTCATCCTTAAAAATAACTACTCAATCATGAAAAGTCACTAACTATGGGGTCGGAAGGATGATACACTGAGAGACTGTATTTAGTGCTGTCACTTGTCAGATTTTCTCGTAAAAGCCTATTTTAAAACGTGACTTTGCAAAATCAGTTAAATGCAGAGGAAGAGATGGGGCTAAAAGCAAACATAGAATTATAGATTGAAACATGCTATTTTTTTTCTATAGCATTCAAAGCAAAGTTAAGTTTTAACATGGGTGTTTTACATCTATAATTAGTAGAAATTAAGCATTTCTGGATTTTTTTTAGAAGACTATGAAAGATATGATTTGAAATTAAGATCCTTAAAATAAGTTGATCTCTGAAATCCACTTGAATTTTTGAAAGATTTATTCATTTATTTATTTTTAGAGAGAGAGGAAGTGTGTGCACGAGTAGGGGGAGGGGCAGAGAGAGAATCTTCAAGCGGATGCCCTGCTGAGCATGGAGCCCATGACTCATAAGATCTTAATCTGAGCCAAAACCATTTTAACTGACTGATTTAACTGATCACTCATTTAACTGACTGAGACACTTAGGGGCCCCCACTTGCATTTTTTTTTTTTTTAATGCTTTATGTATACTTGGCTCATGTGGACACCAAATCATGCCTCTTTGGAAAGTTCAGAATAAATATAGTTTTAATCTTTTTCATAAGTTTTTAAGATTATTGTAATAAACTATGTGTAGATAAATATTTACCTATTTCAAGCTCCTTTTCTGAGTAAATATTGATAAAATTGTATTTCCTGTAAGATAAAGTTTTTAAAAATTTTATTTATTTTATTAGAGAGCATGTGCCTGTATGGGGGTGCAGAAGGAGGAGAGACTCTAAGCAGACTCCATGCTGAGCATGGAGCCCAATGTGGGGTTCTATCTCAGGACCCTAAGATCAGACTTAACAGGCTGAGCCACCCACATGCCCCTGTAAGATAGTTTTTAAAGACACCTTGTTCAAGCTCCAATTACCTATTTTTATTCTATTGTAGCAAAGAGTGAAACAAAAATAATATATGAAATAGGGAATGGTGTCCTATTAGTTTGCTTTAATCATAGCAGGTGCCAACAGATCTTCATGACAGATACTGTCACCCACCCCCACTTTTTTTAATGACACTGAAATTATCTCACCATTTTTCTTTGCAGTTTTTCTTTACATCTTTTGGTGCCAGAGATAGAAGTTACCTCAGTATCTTTAGGTTGTGGCAGAATGTACTGTTAGACAAGGTAAGTGTTCATACCAGAGGCAGGTGCTTCTTATAATAGCAACCTCCCAATGTGTACCTCCACAGTGTTTGCAAGTTGAATTTTTCTGGAGTTAATTTGACTAGACTATATAAATTCCAAGATGAACCATGAAGCAAAACAGAATCCATAGTTATGTTAAGATGTTAATTTTACAGTAAGTCTCCCTTTTATCTGCAGGGAATGTGGTCCAAGGCCCATAGTGGATGCCTGAAATTGCACATAGTACTGAACTCAATATATATGCTATGTTTTTCCTATACATCCATACCTATGATAAAATTTCACTTATAAATGAGGCACAGTAATAGATTCATAAAAATAACTAATAATAAAATAGAATAATTATAACAATATACCATAATAAAACTTATGTGAATGTGGTATCTCTCTCGCTCTCAAGATATCTTATTGTACTGTACTTATCTTCTTCTTGTGATGATATGAGATAATGAAATGACTGCATGATGCAATGAGGTGAGGTGAATGACAGGCATTGTGATGTATTGTTAGGCTACTACTGACATTCTGATGGTGTGTCAGAAGGAGGACAATCTGCTTCCTGACTGTGGTTGACTGTGGGAACTGAAAGGGGGGAAAGTGAACCTGTGGATAAGGGGGGGACTACTGCAATCCCCAGGGTAACCATCAAGAAAATAACTTTAAAAATATGGTAAAAGAAACCTCAAGGGAATTAAAATTGGTACACTAGAACTATCTGTTTAACATGTATGAAGGCAGTAATGGAGGAATAGAGGGACAAAAAGACATAAGATACATAGAAAACAAATATCAAAATGGCAGACATTATATTTAAATCATTAAACATAGATTAAGCACTTCAATCAGAAGGCAGAAGTAGGCAGAAAGAATGAAAAAAAAAAAAAAAAAAACCAAACCATACTCTGACTCTATGCTGTCTGTTTGAAACATGTTAAAGATACAAACAGATGGAAAAAAAGACACTATTACAAATAGTATTCAAAAAATAGCTGAAGTGACTGCAGTAGAATCAGACAAAATAGACTTTGAGATAAAAATAAAGACAAGGAATGATGTTTTATCATAATAAAAGGGTCAATCCATCTGGAATATATAACAATTATAAACTTACATCTAAGAACCTGTGTGTGTGTGTGTGTGTGTGTGTGTATACTCCTAATAACAGAACCCTAAAATACATCAAACAGAACTAGCAGAATGAAGGGGGAAATAGATAATTTTATTAATATCTAATAATAGTTGGAGATTTCAATACCCCACTTTTAATGATGGATAGAATAACCACAGAGATCAAAAAGGAGATAGAAAATTTGAACAAAACTATAAACTAACTAGAACTAAAAGACATCTATGAGACTCTCAAAGGAGAATATACATCTTTCTCAAGTACACATGGAACACTCTCCTGACAGACCGTATGCTAGGTCATAAAAGCAACCTTAATAAATGCAAGAGGATTGAAATAATGCAATGGACTGTACAGTGAATGAAATTAAAGTCAATAACAGAAATTTGACAATTCATAAAAAGTGGATATTAAACAAAACATTCCTAAATAACCGATGATTGAAAGAAGAAATCACAAGAGAAATTAGAACATACTTCAAGTTAAATGAAAACAAAAACATAACATACCAAAACTCATTGGGTGCAGTTAAAGCAATGAATAGAGGAGATTTTATAACTATAAATATCCATATTAAAAAAAGGATTGATCTCAGGGTGCCTGGGTGGCTCAGTTGTTAAGCATCTGCCTTCAGCTCAGGTCATGATGCCAGGGCCCTGGGATCGAGCCCTGCATTGGGCTTCCTGATCATCAGGAAGCCTGCTTCTCTCTCTCCCACTCCCACTCCTTGTGTTCCCTCTCTTGCTGTGTCTCTCTGTCAAATTAAAAAAAAAAAAAAAAATCAATAACCTAACTTTCCACCTTAAGTATTAGGGCAAAGAAAACAAACTAAAGACAAAGAGAAGCAAGGAAATGCTAAAGACTAGAACCGAATGAATGAAATAGAGAATAGAAAAACAGACAATCAACAGAATGAAAAGTTCTTTCTTTGAAAAGATCAGTGAAGTTTAACTAGACTGACCAAGAAAAAAGATTAAAATTATTACATTCAGAAGTGAAACTGATAGCATTACTACTGACCTTACAAAATGAAAAGCGTTCATACTATGGACATTTTATGCCAACAAATTAGTTAACCTAAGTGAAATGGACAATTGTGACTAGAAAGTCATAAATCATTGCAACTGACTCAAGTAAGAATAAAAAATCTGAATAAACCTATAACAAGGAAAGAGATTGAATTAGCAATAAAAAAAATCTACCCACAAAGAAAAGCTCAGGCCCAGATGGCTTCAATGGTAAATTCTGCCAAATGTTTACAGTAGAATTAACATCAATCCTTCATAAAGTATTTCAAAAAATAGAGGAGGAGAGAATACTTCACAACTCAGTCCAAGAGGCCATTATTACTTTCATAACCAAGTCCAGACAAAGAACTTCACAAAAAACCTACAGGGCAATATTTAGGTTCACTGTGTCTATGTTCATTTTGTCTATGAATATAGACATAAAAATCCTCAACAAAACCAAAGTAATTTAGCGAAACAAATCCAGCAACATATAAAAACAATTTTAAAACAATTAAATGCCATGACTAGGTAAGATTTATACAAGGTTGATTGAACATATGAAAATCATTCAATGGGGGCTCCTGGGTGGCTCAGTGGGTTAAGCTTCTGCCTTCGCCTTGGGTCATGATCTCAGGGTCCTGGGATCCAGCCGGGCGTCGGGCTCTCTGCTCAGCAGGGAGCCTGTCCCCCCTACCCCACCCCGCATGCCTCTCTGCCTACTTGTGATCTCTCTGTCAAATAAATAGATACAATCTTTAAAAAAAAAAAAAAAATCATTCAATGTAATACACTATATTAGTAGAATAAAGGACAAAACCCACATGATCATCACAGTCAAAAAAGAAAAAAAAAAGTGACAATATCCAACATAAAAAAAACCAAAACCAAAACCAAAGTAGGACTAGCAGGGAATTTCTTTGACTTGATAAAGCTTACAGCTAACATACTTAATGGCAAGAGACTAATGCTTCCCCACCTTAGGTCAGGAACAAGACAAGAATGTCCTTTCTTGCCATTTCTATTCAACATTGTATTGAAGGTTCTGACTTCAATAGGGAAGGGAAAATAGGTAAGAAAAAGAAGTAAAAGACATTCAGATTAAAAATGAAATAAAACTATATTCACTGGCAGATGATATGGTTTTGTATTTGTAAAATTCTAAGGAAATCATTAGAAACCCATTAGAACTAATAAGTTCAGGAAGTTGCAGAATATATGATCAAAATACAAAAATCAATTATATTTTATACACTGACAGTGAACAATCCCAAAATTTAAAAAATGATTCACTTATAATAATATCAAAAAGAATAAAATACTTGGGAATAAATTTAACAAAAGAACTTTAAGATGAACACTGAAAGTTAATGTAGTTAAAAGAAACTAAAGAAGACAAGTGAAAAAAATCTCATGCTCATGGGTCAGAAGACTTGATATGGTTAAGATGGCAATATTCCCCATTCCCCAGGTTGATCTGCAGATTCAGTGCAATCCCTATCAAAATCCCAACTGGCATTTATTTATTTATTTATTCTTTTTTTTTTTTAAATTGAAAAGCAGATCCTAAAATTCATATGAAATGGAAGGTACCCAGAATAGTCAAAACAGTCTTGAAAAAGAACAAAACTGGATTAATTAGTCTGTTAGGGCTGCCATAACAAAATACTATAGACCTGGCAGCTTAAACAACATGAATCTATTTTCTCACGCTTCTGGAAGCTGGAAGTCCCAGATCATGGAATAGGCAAGGTGAATTTCTGGTGGGACCTATCTCATTGGCTTGCAGCCTTCTTATTGTGTCCTCACATGGCTTTCCCTCTATTCATGCACACTCTTGGTGGCTCTTCCTCTTATATGAATACCAGTCCTATTAGGGTAGGGCTCCGCCCTCACAACTCTGTCTTAGCTGGGGCTGCAATAACAAAATGCTATAGACAGGGTGACTGAAATGACAGAACTTTATTTCCTCATAGTTCTAGAGGCTGGAAGTCTGAGACTGGGATGACAGCTTTGGTGGGATTCTGGTGAGAACACTTCCTGGCCTTCTCATTGTGTTCTGACACAGCCGGGAAGGAAAGAGAGAGCCAGAGCCAGAGCCAGAGCTAGAGCCAGAGCCAGAGCCAGAGCCAGAGCAAGCTAACTCTCTGATATCTTCCTAGAAGGGCATTAATCCCATCATGAGAGTCCCACCCTCATTTACCTCATCTAAACCTAATTATCTCCCAGAGGCCCTACTCCAAATGTTGGGAGTTTGGGTTTCAACATGAATTTTGAGGGGAACAATTCAGTGCATAGCAACCTCATTAACCTTAATTTTCTCCTTAAGGTCCCTACCTCCAAATTAGTCACTTTGGGGGTTTAGGGCATTACATACCAATTTTAGGGGAATGCAATTCAGTCTGTACCATTGGAAGACTTGCACTTTTTGTTTTGATGTTTACTACAAAGCTGCAATAATGAAGGCAGTAGGTTTACTGATGTAGGTCTAGACAATACACGTTAATGAAATAGAATTGAGAGTCCAGAAATACAATCTTACACTTATCGGCCCTAATTTGATTTTTTACAAGGGTGCCAAAACAGTTACACAGGGAAAGAAGTCTTTTCACCAAATGGTACTGGAATAACTAAATGATCCATACAAAAGAATGAGTTTTGATTCCTACTTCAGGCCATATACAAATATTAAATCAAAATGGATCATAGACCCAAAGGTATGATCTTAAAGTATAAAACTTTCAGAAGAAACTGTAGCTATAAATCTTCATGACTTTTGGATTAGACAGTTGTTTCTTAGATATGACACCAAAAGCTCAAGTGACAAAAGAAAAAAGTAGATAAAT